GATACGAGAGAATACTCTCCCAACCCCCCTTCCTTACTATGCTCTTCTCTTTGATGTGTTATATTGAATGTGTGTATATATACACGCACACACATACCTAAGAGTTTATTTCAAAAATCTTCTGATCTCTTTAAATGGTCTGATGCTATTGAATGGATCAATTAGTAATGTAAAAATTTCTTACTGATTTTTTAGTATATATATATTTTTTTATTTACTGAAAATTATATATATATGTGTATATATAAAATAATGAAAATTTCGAAATTACTTATTGAATGAAAAAGAAAGAAGAAGGGGGGGGGAAGAGAGAAAAATTTATTTTCTAATAACACTACGAGTTCTAGGTCAGAAACCTATCGGAAATAATGTCGACGACAAACACGAAAGAAACAACATCACGTGATTCCCATGCGAATCAACGAAACATTACGACCGTTCGCGAGACCCCGATAACAATGATTATGCGAAGAGTCTCGAGAAACTAAACTATCGGGTTTGTGAGCGAACAATGCACGTACTACCATTAACGTTTATCGAAAACGTCTTTCTTTTGTTGTATCACGAACGTAACTTCCGATGTAAGGTAAAAAGAACTTCGCTCGAAAGATAACACTTTCTCTCTCTCTCTCTCTCTCTCTCTCTCTCTCTCTCTCTCTCTCTCTCTCTCTCTCTCTCTCTCTCTCTATATATATATATATATATATATATATAATCCTTCGTTGAAAACCTAACCTTACTTTCCAACGGAAAAAGAACAAAAAAGAAAAGAACAGAAAAAATAAGGGAAGAAAAAAAAAAAAAATTATTAAAATTTGTATGAAAAATAAATTTTTATAAAAGTAATATATTTTCACATATATTATTATTGTTATTATTATTATTATTATTATTATTTTTATTTTTCGATATAATAGAACAAAAAATATTGAATAAGAGATATATTCATCATAGTAATTTCGTATATTGGACCATTTTAAAGCATATACATACACACATTACACACATATATATTCCTTTGATTAATCGCTATCGGAGAAACGTTAATTGCCGATAATAAATTTCATTGGCGTTGGGAATAGGACAGGACGAAGTGCAAGTAGCAAGTCGTCGGCTCTCGATACGTATAAGAATGTGTATAGCTATTGAAAAACAAGATCATCTCTCTCTTTCTTTCTCTCTCTCTCTCTATCTATTTATCCTCTCTATCTTATTCTCCCTTTCAACCTCTAACAAATGAAACGACTTATGATTGTGTGGGACGCGTTTTAAATCGAGTTACAATTTTCTTCCTTTTGTTTCATCTTTTTTTTATTTTTTATTTTTTTTTTTTTATTTTTTAAATAAATTTTTATCCTTTCGAAGATGCAACGAGAGACAAAATAAGAATAATAATAATAAGATATATATATATATATGATAATAAGATATATATATATATATATATATATATATATAGATAAAGAAATGTCGATAATGTAACTTGGTTCTACTTACAATCGACCCGAAACGACGGAATGTAAACGACATACGTAAAATAATATAAGGAACACGTATGTATATATGTATGTATGTATGTTTGTATACACGTATATATGTATATGTATATATATAAGAATGTTGAAAAGTGAAAAACCGCCGAGATAAAGGGTGTGCTTAAGGAATCCGTGAGAAAGAGAAGAAACGATGGAGTACGAAAATAGCAGAGACGACGTTAAAAATAGAATATATGTACTCGAAGTAGTTCACTGATACGGCGCGAATCGCGTGCAAGACTGCCGGAGGTTCGATCGTTCGACCGGTGCGCGCTCCTCTTTCTACGATAGGGTGGTGTTTCATTCGTATCGAAAGAGAGAGAGAGAGAGAGAGAGAGAGAGAGAGAGAGAGAGAGAGAGAGAGAGAGAGAGAAAAGAGAGACGGAGAGAGAGAGAGAGAGAATCACGCGCCGAGAATAGACATCGTAACCTTGAAGGAGCGTGCATACGAAACGAGGAGCCTTCTTCAAATTGTTGCTTCTCGTTTCTTTCCAAAAATTTGCATTTTGAGTCACGCCGTTAAAGAAATATATTTTTTGAAAATTATCGGTGCTTAGTAGTCATTGATATTAAACTATGTTCTATGAGATAGAAAAAAGTAATGATAAAAAAAAAAAAAAAAAAAAAAATATATATATATAAATAATAATAATAAGAAAAAAAATGTATCATTATTATATAAATTTTTGTTATTATTATTGACAGTTAACGATTTTAAATCACGTGTTAAAGCATAAGATGTTTTTCTTTCTTTATTATTATTATTCTTTTTTTTAACGTTGAGATGGCTGATGGAACGTTGGAATTGAACTACTTTCCATGAAATATAAAAAAGGAACCATGTTCGGTTATTATATACGTTTTGTTGCTGTCGGCGTTAATGATTTTTAGTCACGTTATAAGGTATAGCGAAAGATATACTTTGAAAAAGAGGACGCTGATTGATAGTTGAGATTCGATTAGATTTTATGAATTGTATGGAGAAAAAAAGAAAAAAAAAAAAAAAAGAAAATAAATAAAAAAAGAAAAAAGATACATTCAGTTATTATACGCTTTACTATTGTCGACGTTAACGATATAGAGTCACGTGATGAGATGACAGGATGATATGTTCTTTTTTAAACGACGGAGACTGATTGACGGAACTAACTGATCGTTATGACTCGTGATGACTAGTTACTATGAAGAAAAAAAAAATAAATAAATAAATAAATAAATAAATAAACAAATAAATAAATAAATAAATAAAAATAATAGAAAATAAAAGAAAAGAAAATCTCTTCGATTATTAGAAAATATTTCATTATTGTTGAATGTTAACGATCTCAATACGATCATGTAAAAGCGATTAAATGCGTTTAATTATATAAATAAGAATGTGTTCGTGTTGATCGTGCCAAGATCGTTTTGACAACGGTACCTGTTAAGTAACGACAAGAGAGAAGTTCTAAAGGAACACATGAAGAGAGAAATAGCAAGTTCGTCGTTTTCACACATGATAGATACATAATAATACGATAATTCGATTAGGATCGACAAAGTAAGTCGATGGACATCGACCAGAGCGACGACACATGTGTCCACGCATATATAATAAATTATATATATATATATAAAATTTTATATATTTTATATTTTATAAAAAACTTCATAAATTTAAAAAATATAATTTTATATATATGATTTAAAAAATAAAATTTTATATATATATATATATATATATATATATATAACCAATTAGTTTCTGCTCTGTTCCACCACCATCATTTAGTTGCGTGCACACTGTCCATCAGTTGCCGGCGACCGGGCAACGAAAGGAAAGACCATGGCTTCTCCCTCACACACGCGCGTAAAAAAAAAAAAGAAGGACGACCAAAACCCAGGACGATCAAACTCAATGACCCGAATTTATAACCAACGTAATATTTAATCTCAGTGGCAGAATATATGCACAGAGGGAGCAATCGCCACGGGCTCCTTGAAGGCTAGATTCGACAGTGTCCGATTCCCCCCAACTCCACGAAAGTTGCTTTTAGTACAGCACTGCGGAACGCGTGCATTCGATTCAATGTACACCTGGATGGATAGGTCTCTGTCTCGTTTTACACGATATTTTTTCTACACAATTTACATTTACCTTCTCTCTCTCTCTATCTCTTTTCTTTTTTCATTCACACATTTTACTTTACTTTTACATGCGTTCGCAAAAAGAAGGAAAAATGCATATTAATTCACAAAGATTGTCACAAGAATGGTATAGATTTTTTAAGCAAATATATATAATGATTAAATAAAAATATATATAATATATTTTATAATTATATATAAATATATAATAAAAAGAATATATATATATATACATATATTTTCTTTTTCTTCAGCACATTAAAACTTTTCTTTTATGCATTTATTAAATAAAAAATCTTCTTACCGAATGAATGTCCATATTTTAAATTATTTTTTTGGATAAGTGCGTTTATATATATATATATTTTTTTTTTGTAATTAATTTTTAACTCAACCTTTTTTTTTGCACACTTAAAAAAGAAATTCGGGCGCAGCTCTCACTGGTGCAATTTCACGGCGACCAAAATGCGTACGCGCGTCCTCTTATATATTCCCTTGATAATCTACATATGTACGTAAATATGCATGTATGCGTAACTACTAGAGAAGAGAGAGAAACATACAAGCATGAATAGTCCTGAAGCTTTTGAGTATCGCTATAAATACACGCGTGCATACACACGTGTGTATATATACATACACGAGAGAAAAAGATAGAGAGAGAGAGAGAGAGAGAGAGAGAGAGAGAGAGAGAGAGAAAGAGAGAACGCTATGTACGAGCCGTGTGACGTATATAATACACAAGTCGAACGTGCACCAACTGTCGTAAGATTATTATTAAGTCTATTAGAAATTATATGAAAATGGGTAGATAATTTCTTTGTTATTGTCTTCTTTTTTTTTTCTTTTCTCCACTATTTTCTTTCCGCTTACAAACTTTAATTTACCGACCGACGGTTATTTTTATTTTATCTGTTTATTCTTTAAATAAAAAATAAAAAATAAAAAAAAAATAAAAAAAAATAAAAAAAAAATAAAAAAAATAAAAAAAAAATTCTTCATTTTTTTTGAGACAAAAGTCTTGCGGGAAAAATAAATCGTTTCAAAAATATCGATCTTCTTATTCGTTTGTTCGTTTAAAAATTAATCATTCCAAAAATATCGATCAAAGTTTGTATTTACTTTTGTGCTTCGACAAGAAAAAGCCGAAAAAACGAAGAAGGAAATAGCGCTATGTATTTCTTCCTCGAATACAGAAAATAAAAATAATCGTCCCTTTTCATACACTTCTAAGAATCGTACATGATTTTGTGGTTTAGGACCGTCGATCTCGATTATTATTATTATTATTATGATTGTTACTAAGAATTTCTTGATCGATCGCATCGTTGCCATACCCAAAATCCTCCTTCTCGTTTACGTATCTCGTTCTAAATATCCGTTGTCTTTTTCAAATGCATCACACAATTAACAAGAATATAAAACACACAAGTAGACAGAACGAATAAGCAACTACTTTTGGAACATATGAATCATTGTAAGTATTGCATACGTATATGATTCATTCAATTGCACACGTATTAAGTTATATTTACTTTTGACATAGTAAAGAGAGATTTTTCTAACCTCTTGAAGAGTCAGGTACGAAAAAAAAAAAAAAAAAAAAAGAAAAAAAAAACAATGGAAGAATGACAAACTTATATTGGAAATCTCAGAACGCGATCTATGAATGCGACACACGTTTTTGAAATTATTTTTATATAATACTCTTTACGTTTTTCTCTTAAATGCAATATTGCGTATTATAAAATCCTGCTATGATTGGCAACGTCGCCCGTCGTTTCCTGCCTCTCTCTTACTCTCTCACTCTCACTCTCTTTTTCTTTTTTCTTCGTGCGAACGCTACAGTTTACACGATATTACGAAAAGAAAAGAAAAAAAAAAGAAAGAAAAAAAAAAAAGAAGAAATAGAAATTCGAGACAATCTCTAAAGATAATGTAAGAGAAGAAAATTCTCTTTATTCATACCATGAAACATTGTTAAACATCTTTTAGGTTAATGTATTCTAAAAATCGCTGTCGATAATATCAAAAAAGTAAATTAATAATAATAATGACGATGATAATAATAATAATAATAATGTGAAAATTGTCAAAATGTAAATGAAAAAATTATAAATAAATAAAGAAAAAATTGTTAGCTGGAGATACTTAATAAACAAACATAGAGAGAGAGAGAGAGAGAGAGAGAGAGAGAGAGAGAGAGAGAGAAAAGGGGAAGGAGATAGAATAAGAGAAGTATCACACATTAAAGTAGATATGTGACATCACATATATTCAAGGCTAGCAATAGTGAAGTCATATTGTACTTAGCTGCTACGTGCCAACACGCGCCTATGAAAAGCTTTCATTGTACATTTCGTCGAACAGTTTCAAACGCGTGTCGACGGAATATAACACGAATAAATACGATAAGTTCATTCTTTTTCCGATAGGAAACATCAACGAAAGCAGATATTGTGAGCGCTCGTGTGAGAATATAACGAAGTAAAGTGTGATCCGACCAATGAACATGCCTACCAATATTTCGTTAGTTCGAATACCGGCATGTTTTTAATAACTTCGTTTTCAGTAACTTATAATAATTGAGGAACAAGAAAAAAAGGAAAAAAAAAGGTAAAAGGAAAAGAAAAGAAAGTAAGTAAATAAATGTTTCATCAACGGAATCAACAAATTATTTGCTCAAAATTTGATGCCTTTCGAAAACAACGAAAACAACCTAAGAACGTTTACATTTGATAAATTCTAAGATTACGATACGAAGGGAGAGGAGAGGGGAAACAAAAGAACTTCGAATTATTTATTCTCAACGTTGAAGTTATCGTTCATTTTTTTTTTAATATGCCCAATATGGATCTATCTTCGTTTTTTTTTCTTTATCTCTAACGCTGTATACATTAGTAAAAAAAAAAAAAAAAAGAGGAAAAGGAAAAAAAAGAAAAATGAACTATTTGGATCGTCATAAAATATACATATATATATATATATATATACGTGCGCACACCCAATAGCATACATAAATATATGTATATTATATATATATTTTACGTACGGCAACATTTGTTCGATAACGTGATAAAGAAAAAAAAACAAAAAAGAAAATTCTAACATACTATATATATATATATATAGTCGTAGCCATTAACTGAAAGGGAAGAAAAAAAAATCACACGAGATAATTTGGACCAGTCGAGAATTAAATTTACGCGCTTACTTACTTCAGAGAAAACGCGAGCCCTGTGGCTCCACCCCACTCCACTTCATCTCTCCCCGTCCCTCTACGCTCCTTTTATCCTATGCACACGGTTACAAAGCGTGCATCGTCTTTCCTTTTTTTTTTATCTTTCTTTCTCTTTCTCTCTCTCTCTCTCACTCTCTCCAATCCTTCCATTATCTCTCTTTCTCGTGATATACCGAGCGTGACGGAGACGAAGAAAAGGGAAGCGAAGAAAAAAAGAAAGAAAAAGAAAAAAAAAAGAAAGGTTAGAAAGACGTTACGATCTTGGCATCGTAGGAAAGTGCTACTACGCCTATGCAGACAGGGCGAGTCATGAGAAGAGAGGAGAAGGAAGGGGAGGAGAGAAAAGGAGTGGAAAGGAGAGAAAGAGAGAGAGAGAGAGAAAAGAAAGAGAAAAAAAAAAGAAACACGAAGCTACGAGGATTATGAGTAAAAGAGATAACTAAAAAAAAAGAAAAAGAAAATATAAATAATCCAATTCCCGTAAAAGAGTCGGTTGTTTCTCGAGCGCACCTGTCACACGCGATCGAACATTCTCGAGAGACCGGTAGCGGAGGCGGTGATCGAGAATTTCTTGGTAAAGGAGAGACAGAGAGAGAGAAAGAGAGAGAAAGAGTAGGACTAAAACGTACGAGTCTTTTTTCTCTTTCTAGGACGACGACCACGACGACGACGACGACGACGACGACGACGACGACGACGACGACGACAAAGACGATGATGATGAAGAGGACGACGGCGACGACAACTCGCCGGCCGGCATCCGTTCCAAATTTAAATTTGCAGGCTAGCCTTCGCTTTGAGAGTATGGTGGACGTGTTTCCAACGTACCTTTGCCGAATGCTCTTCCTCTATCTCACTCCATTTCTTTCTTTCTTTCTCTCGCTCTATCTATCTATCTATCTATGTATCTATCTATCTCCTCTTCTCTTCTCTTCTCCAGCGCACAAAAAAAAAAATAGATGGAATAATAATATTCAATGAAGGACGCTTTGAAAAATACTCACAAATCTTATTTATCCTTTTGTTTTAACACGATCTTAAAAGCCACTAGTCTAAGACGACGACGACGACGACGACGATGACAACAACGACGACGACGACGACGACGACGATGACAACACAACAATTGAAAAACGTTCGCGATATAAAATAGATTTACGACGATATTTCGACGCAAATACGACACTTTTCAAAAGTACCAACGTGAGGAAGACTTTGAAAGAAGACGCACATTTGCTAGAACGTAAGGGCTTCGAAGAGACCAACTGCCGGAATCCCCCTTCCTTACTCCGCCCAAACCGTCGCGCACCAGTCGCGCCACCGATTCTGATTGGTCTCGACCTCCCGGCACAACGACCAATCACGCTATTTCTCTCTCTCGTTTGCTCGGCGCGCGCACTAAGACGCGCCTAATTCGATCGAGATCCTATGTAAACGTCGCTGACGCGCTCTTTCACCTCGTCGATTTTTTTTATCGATTTAACAACCTCGATACGACCAATTTTCGTTTACTTTGTTTAAATGAACGTAGGACGATGATATGGATTAAGATGAAAGAGTTTTTAAGCTTGCCAGGAAAAATTCTAACTTTCAAGTTATACATATGTATAACTTGATATCTATGGATATCTATTAATACTGTTTAAATTAAAAATTATAATTGAAATAAAATAATAAACATGATAAGGATATATATATATATATCTATGTTATAAATGATAATTATGTAATCAAATTGTATATGATGAATATAAATAAATAAATAAGTAAATTTATTTAAATCGATTTAAATTTTATGATAATCGAATGAAAGAATTATCAAGCCAATTGTGGTACGAACAGACTAGTCGGTATGCAGTAGAGCTAGCGTCAAATTCAGGCCAAGATTCCTGACTGAGTATACGAGGCATCACCGGTATTTCTACTACTCCATCGACAAAGTCTCGTGACGAAAATTAACAAGAAGGTTAACGGCGATTTAGAAGCAATTGCAATGTTTCCCCGAAATTATTTCATCGATTTTTAATACATAAGAAAATAACATATGATAAAATAATACGAATCAGTCGGTAACAAAGAAATCTTTGAATTTCAAGACGATTACTCAATGAGCTATATCGATGTTGTGTGTAAAAGAAAAAAAAAAGAAGAAAAAGAAAAAAAAAAGAAAAAATAGAAAAGAAAAGAAGAAATCGATAGGAAGTTGCATTTTTTTTCTTTCCTTTTCTTTTTTTTTCTTCTTCCTTTCTTTTTTTTTTCAAATAAGAACGCGGAAATTGGAATCGTACGATGGGGAAGGGGAAAAAAAAAGAAAAAAAAATCGATTGGACAATACTAAACAACGAACAATTGCAAATGGGATTTCACCGTGTAGCAAAGTGGTTAGGTTAGTGAGTAATTAAAAGCAAATATCCGTTCGTGATTGAGATGCATCGACTAACTAGCGATCAGAGGAAATAGAGAGAAAGAGAAAGAGAAAAAGATAGAGGTAGAGGTAGAGAAAGAGAGAGAGAGAAAGAGAGAGAAAGAGAGAGAAAGAGAGAGAAAGAGAAAGAGAGAGAGAGAAAGAGAGAGAAATATGGGGGGAAAAGAAGAAGGTATTCACGGTGTAGAAGAGAGAAGGCCGTAGGAGTTTGGTCTGATTCGCGAACCGGCATACGACAATCAGTGCAGGAAGTGCAGTGACTGGCACAAGGTGGTGAAAGTCAAAGGTACAGGCGGAAAGTGGGCCGAGAGTGTGCTTCGTGAAATATAAAGGAAAGATCGTAAGAGTTTGGACGTAACGCGTTTTTGTGTATAACATATCTATATGGGAAGTAGGACGATGTAATCGACCTGTGATCGGAGCCATGATTATTTATAAAAAAAAAAAAAAAAAACGAATAAATAAATAAATAAATAAATAAATAAAAATTAAAAAAAAAGAATAAATAAATAAATAAATAAATAAATAAATAAATAAATAAATAAATAAATAAATAAATAAATAAATAAATAAATAAATAAATAAATAAAAATTAAAAAAAAAGGAATAAATAAATAAATACATAAATAAAAATTAAGAAAAAAAAAGAAGTAAGAATAAGTAGAAAATAAAAAAAAAAAAAAAGAAAAAGGAGAGAAAAAGGAAATAAAAACTCAGAACTAAAATATTGGAGATAAAGAGAAGATTTTTTTACGGGAGGCGAAATTTCATGTGATTACACTGTATGTACTGTAGATGTCAGTCTGAACCGAGAGAAAAGAGCAAAAAGAGCGGGTAGTTTGAATATAGGAATGAAGAATCTTTCTTTTCGAACGACTACGAGGACGACGACATGGCGGGCGTGTCGAGAGAGAAAGAAAAAGAGAGAGAAAGAGAGAGATACACTCGTTCTAGCGTTTCTAAAATAAGTACGACCCTCTTTCCAGTAGCCTCTCTTTCTTTCTTTCTCTCTCTCTCTCTCTATTTCTCTCTTCTCTCTCTTTCTCTTTCCGCATCGAAATAGCATCGAAAAGCATAAAATTTGTTCTTTTTAAGCGTGCAGCACTGCGTTTCTCACTCGAGCTTGCCGAGACGGTGAAAGACAAAAAAAAAAAAAGAAGAAGAAGAGGTATGCCTAACACGAACGCACGAGAAACAATTCGAAATAATGACCGAGACGAAAGTCGTCTATATAGAAACGTAACGGATACACAAACGAAAGGGTGGCTAATGAGCCGTCGACGTAAATTTTTACCACGAGATATCTTTGGTAGATAAATACGAACATGTAAAAGATTTTTATCGCTTGGTACGACAAAAATTAATTTAATCGTTAATTTAATGTATGAGACGTTGTAAAAAAAAAAGGTAAAAATTTCAAATGAACTTTGATTAAGAATATCGTTTTACAAAGAACAACGATAGACAATCCGAAAATAACTATCTATTCTCAAAAAAAAAAAAAGAAAAAAGAAAAAAAAAAAAAAATATATATATATATATATATATATATATATATATATATGGTCGCGCATATGTCGTTTCACGGCGATAAATTTATTTTCGAATTTTATAGTATCCTCTTGTGATTAACGAGCGCAATATCCTTATGATAGATTATATTATACCTATGCAAGTTTAATGTTCTCGTATTAAGTCCAAAGAGGTCGAGCGTTGTTAATAGTTCTGTTGCCTTCGTTCGATTCTAAAATGCATACCTTTATCATAAACCTTTATTTATGTACGTCCGCTCGTATAGTTTAGAATAACTCGTGTAATAAAAGAAAAAAAAAATTATAATATTCGTATAATATAATAGAATCATAAAAGGATACGGATAATATGAGAATAATGAGAAGATATGTAATATTTTCGATGTAACAACTATAACGACGTATGTATATAGTTGAATTTACATTAAAGGATAAAAATGTGAAATACAGAAAGAGGAAGTGTAGAAAGAGAGAGAGAGAGAAAAAAAAAAGAGAAAGAGAGAATAATAATGCTTACTTATGTCGTTGTTGGCCGGCGAGTCGTCGTCGTCGAGGGTTGTTTCAAGGGTTACATTTAGGGCTGCATTCTCCTCCTGGAAATTGTTCTCATCACACTTAGGCATATTTTTTCCCTCTAGAAATATTCCATCCGAGAGATTGGCAGCAATAGAAGGAACATTGTCGAGTAATGGGTTTTCATTCTCCAAATTGTCCAGGTTGTCCACGTTGTCGACGTCATCGACAGCATCGACGTCTGTCTCTGGTCCAAGATCCTCGTAAATATAATCTGCGGCATCGTTCTCTTCGTGTTTTCCATCAGCACCACCGCCTGTTATCTCATCGTGAAAACCACCGTCGTCCATTGCCGTTTCTTCCGATCCATTAGCGTGCCTCTCTTCTTGATCGTTGTCATAAGGCTGCTGATGTTGCTGTTGGTATTGCTTCATCTGCTTGAAGAACAAGCCATCGCTAAGATCCTTCTGTACGTATGGATTGTTCACGGCCATGTTTTTCATCGATTTCACGACGAGAACAGAATTGGCGTCGCTCGACCTCGCTACGATATCACTTGGTGCCGTTAAGAAGACCACGATAGCTGTAATGTTGTCCAAAGAGCCCGCGTGTTTGGCCGCTTTTATCAAGCTCGTTACGGCGTAATTTGGATCGTCTGAAAGAGAAAAAAGAGTAAATAAAAAAAAAAAAAAAAAAAAAAAAAAAAAAGAAATAAAGAAAAAAATATAAAAATAAATATCGTCGATAAGGCTTAATATTTTAAATAGTCTTTTGATTCGTTGACTTATCATCAACGAGCGTTGTTATTTACATCGTTTCGTTGCGATCACGTCTATTACGGAATATTATCGTTTCGATAACGGTGAATCATACTTTTCTCGAAACCATGATTACGTAAATCTTTGGTTTATCGATGTTGCTTTAGTAACGGGGCATTATTCTTGCAATGGGACGAAATGAAAATTGTCTCGATATAAATCGATATGACTTGACACTGACTAAAAAATGTTTGAAAAAAAAAAAGAAGAAAAAAGAAAACAAGAGAAAAATTAAATAAACAACAAGACTCCAATTTATCGAAAGATTTACATAATTCAATCTTTCTAGCTCTGTCAATCACGTGACTCACATGCACGAAACGTTACCCCTTCTCTCCTTAGAATCTCGTCGATTAGAAAAACGATCGGGGAGGTCCGAAATATATTTTAAACATAGACACACGTTTTACGACATACTGTGACTTACGGATGACTGCCTCTTTTCAATGAGGCAGAAAACGCTCGTACTCGTTCGTTTTTCCGAGACAACAAGAGAGAAAGAGAAAGAGAGAGAAAAAGAGAAAGAGAGACTTGATGAGTGCTTGACAAAATTCAAGGGGTGAAAAAAAATATTTTCCCCCGTAATCTGCACCCCGACGACGTGCGGCCCTGATTTCAGGTGCATTGACCCACGCTGCACTCTTCGTATCGACGCTTGCGTACACGTTCTCTCGCTCTCTCTCTCTCTCTCTCTCTCTCTCTCTCTCTCTCTCTCTCTCTCTCTCTCTCTCGTTTCATTCCATCTCCTTCATCCGTATTCCTTCTCTCTCTCCCTTTCTCTCTCACTCTTCTCTCTTACTCTCTCATTCTATCTCTGCATCTTTCTGTCTTTCTTACTCTATCTCCATATCTCTCTTTCTCTATCTCTGTGTCTTTCTATCTATTCCTCTCTCTCTCTCTCTCTCTCTCTTTCGTTTCTACACACCTCGCTTTCCATCTGCTTTTCCACTCTCTCGCTCACGCTCCAGTGACTTTATTACGTTGGAGAAGCATCCATCTCTCTTTAGCTCCCATCAGATATTAATTCCCGTGACTTTCAGACGGGTTTTCGCAAGGGCGCCGCTCATCGACCACCATCATCCTCCTCCATTTTTTCTGTGTGGTTTTTTTCGCTTTCTCCCCCCCCCCCCACCTCTTCCTTTTTCAACTTCCTCCCTATTTCAACCACCCTCCCTGCCCCCGTTCTTTTTCTTCGATCCGATACTCAGACGATTTCATTCGCAGAAACGTTCGTTTTGAAGCAAACCTATCCTCCTCTGCCAACCCTTTCTATACCACACATCACACCGCATCATATCATACCACATCATACTAACTCACCACAACCAACATCACTACTACCATCATAAACACTCTTTTACAATAGATAAAAAATATAAAAATCTTGGATAGACCGGGGAGGATCAACGATGTGGATTTTGAAAGAAAATCGAAACTCGATGCTTGTATTTTTAACGATAAGTTAAAGTCCGAATGAGTTTGTGATCACTCACAAACTTTTTTCTCTTGCTTTTTTCTCCCTTTTAATTTTTTCTTTTTCTTGTTTTTTTTTTTCTTTCTTCTTCTTCTTTTTTTTTCCTTTCTTTTTCGTTTATTCCTCGGTAAATTTATTTTAACTAATACAGCTATACGTTTCGATGTTCGACGTTTCTTCGAAATATTTTTATCTTTCGTAAAGTACGTACTACTTCTTTTTTTTTCTTCTCTATTTGTTTTAGAAAGATATTTAGAAAGTTTATTTTAAAGAACACGAGGTTCCTTTTTTTTGTCTTTTTTTTCCCTTTTCATTTATTTTTCACTCTCTCTCTCTCTCTCTCTCTCTCTCTCTCTCTCTCTCTCTCTCTCTCTCTCTCTCTCTCTTTCTCTCTCTCTCTCTCTCTCTCTCTCTCTCTCTCTCTCTCTCTTTCTTTCTCTCTCTCATTGTCCTCGAACATTTACTTCAATTTTTCCTTAGAATAATTATTTGAATTACTGGCACGATTCTTTCCTCTGTTTTCTTTTTCTTTTTTTTTTTTTAGGATCTGACTCATAGCCATAATCATACCAATCACATCAGCTTCCTTGTACTCTGTAAGAAAGTGTTACAAATGTTTTAGCGAGATAATGAAAGAATGGGCGTGTATGATCATCCCACGAATTAGAGTAATGTTAGACATTGCGAGAACAGAATACTAATGAATTTCGAATTTATACGCGTTAACATCGTTTAGGTGAATGATCCAATCGAGATTTAACGCATCAATTGTTTATAGAATATTGTTAATCATTTTAATGGTTATCACGGATAAAATTTTAATAAAAAATAAATATAAGAATTTCGTAGAAATTCTGACTATCAGTGTAATGATAGATCATCATTGTGTAGTTTTATCCTTCGCATGAATAATATTACTTGGATATTATTTAAAAAATTTCATGAACGGTGAAACTAATATCTTAAAATTATTTTTTTCGAGTTATATAAATAATAATATAGAATTAAAGTTAGCTCGGATTGATGTTCGTGACGATACCTTTTAAGGATTAATATTAGAAACAATTTAAAAAAGATCTTTCCAATTCTAAAAATATCGTTCTAAACGAATGAACTGTCCTTATGAATGAAAGTCTTGAAACAATGTTGATAACGTCATTGGCTTTTGGCATCCTGCCATCCATCCATCTATCCATCGAAAAGAAAAGCTTATGGCGAATTCTGATGAGATAGTAAGAACGATGAATTCAACGAATGCGATAAACTGTCGTCGTAAACGATTAGATCAAAATAAAATCTCAGTGGGTCCAGGGTCGAGTCGGTGGTGCGACAGCATAGTAATTTATTGCACCACTAATAACATCAACGTTCTTTTACGGGCTAATTCTGTCCACGCGTACACACACACACACACACTCCATTGCGAATTTCTACATCCCTCTTCTGCATAGTTCCTTTTTTATTTTCTTCTTTTTCTTTTTTTTTTTGTTTTTTTTGTTTTTTTTTTTTTTTTTTGAAGAAAGTCCTAACGTTCGCGAATACGAGGATAAGTTAAAAAAAAAAAGAAATAAAGAAATAATAAAAACAAAAAAAACCGTGAAATATGTTTCTGATGTCATCGATCTACTTTTAAGTTTAAAATATGGAAAAGAAATGTGAAACTTACGTGTTCTATGTTAAAAATATTTTAACGTTATAGCGTTTACGAGAAAATATGATATTTTTTTTTTTTTTTTTTTTTTTTTTTTTCGTAAGAAATCAGAGAAGAGGAGAAAAAAGAAAAGGGTGAAAAAATATAATCGAGTGGAGTCGTTAATGATTAACACGGACATAAACGAACACGCATTCGTAAATACTTATAATATGTACGTCACTCTCATTATTTTTGATTATTAATATATATATAAGAAACGATAAGTTTCGTAGAGGAGAGTGTTGGTGAACAACCATAAATGATTTCTCGCCGAGAAATCCTTTCTCATGACTCACGTGGCCCGATCTGACAACACGTTTCCTCGAGCCACAAGGCATGCTTTCACGGGACTTGCTTTCGTTAAAAATAAGTCGCCATTTTTGGGAGTCGACGAAGGACTTTTATCGACAGTCGCAATATCAAAGAAACGTGATTCGTATAATGATGATTGCGACGTAACGATGAAACGAACGAATGAACGAACGAAACAACCAATCGAACGTTCGAGAAACTTCGATCACTTTCGAGATATAAACTAATACACATTAGGAGTGTAACATGTAATTTTGTTAAATCAACATGATTAAAAAAAATGTTAAAGATGTTAGGCTATCCTACTAAATGTTTTAAAGATAAAGAAAGAGAGAGAAAGAAAAAGAGAAAGAGAGAGAGAGAGAGATTATAATTTGAACGTGAGCATTCTGCGTTCGTGCGTTTTTCACGTAAAAGGAAAGAACAATTTTCGACGCATTTAAGAAAATAGAGTTAATTATGCTAATCTACCAGAATACCCGACGCGAGTTCTATGATTAACAACCTACGCTAGTATTATGTATATATGTATACCACTTTATTCCTATATTCATAAGGGATATTTATGTTACAAAAAAAGAAAACAAATCAAACAAATCTCTAGAAAAATTCAAGAAAGATAGTCTTATTTGGTGAACGATGATTATCCAATCTCTAGTCACTAGTCTTTAGTTTCTCTCTCTCTCTCTTTCTCTCTCCAACTTTAATTTCTGTTTTACGAGGACGATCTTACGAGATAGATATCGAAACCCGTTCGTCTTGAAAACGTCCTCGATGATATTCTTTACGGAGTGATATACGTCTCTTCTCTATTCGTCTCTTTCTCTCTCTCTCTCTCTCTCTCTCTCTCTCTCTCTCTCTCTCTCTCTCTTTCTATTTCTGTTCGTCTTTTTACAAGAGGATCGTGGCTTGATTCGGATCATAGCCGAGAAACCGCTGCTCCGCAACGCAACTTGCGCTCTTTACGATGGAGTTTAAATTACACGGAAATATTGGATTACGTGGCAACCGCGATATTACGGCAGAAGGTAGACAATAAAGGAGGAGAGATGCATTTAAAAAGCACTCTCTTGGGGGAGTACTAGACGATATGTATACTCTTCTTGCTCGTCCTCGGTCTACCAAGTTCCTGAATACATGTATACGTACACTTAATTATATATTAAATATTAATATATATTGTATATTAAATATTAATATATATTAATACATATATATTACATATTTGTGTATGCAAATGTTTTATCTGTATACATATATACGATGTGTATACGATCTGTATATATATATTTTGAATTTGTAACATTTGCAAAACTTTGGAAATTTTACTAAACCGTAAAACCATATACATATATGTA